CAGACAAAGAGGAAACTTGAAGCAACAGATATGTGGTTCTACAAAAAGTTGCTGAAGACACCATAGACCGAACATGTGGGCAACGACAAGGTTTTGGAGAAAATAGAAACAGAAAGAAAACTTCTACTCAACATCAGGAAGAGGTAATTGACATTTCTGGGGTACATAATGAGGAAGGAAAGCTTGGAAAATTTGATACTCACAGGGCAGATTGAAGGAAAGACAGACAGAAGAAAGCAGCGCGTAACATACTTGATGAGCTTGAGTAAAAGGATGGTTTGGAAGAAATAACAAAAAGACAAAACTTATTAAGAGCTACAAGGGACAGAAAGATGTGGAGGGCCATGACTGCCAACGTACTGAAAGGACACGGCACATTAAAGAAGAAGATTAAGTCTGTAAATCTGTAAAAATTATTTTTTGTCCATAGCAAAATAATATTAATTAACGCTAATAAAAATCTGCAAATATGATAAAAAGCAGAAAAAAAAAAAAAATAAAACGAAAGAAAAATTCGTCTTAAAGTTAAAACCAATAAATTGTTTAAACCAGCGCTTCATAAACGGTGCGACACGCTTCATAGGTGCGGCGGAAGAAGATAGCAGGTGAGGCGAAATGACTGAAAGACGATCAAAGAATTAGAAACAGTTTTAAAAAATTCTTATGCCAAAATTTAAAATAATATTATGGATTACTTGTAATTGCATGCATGAGTCTCAGGATAAATAGTTACAAATAATTACTGACCGATTTTATCATTGTCAAATTTTTGCATTATATCAAGTATTAAGGGTGTTTCATTAAGAAGTCAGAAGTAAATAAATCAGTGTTATTGGTGAAATTTTATTTATTTCTTTATTGGATCATGTTATTTAAGTCATGGCAATTATGTGCGAAAAAAAAAATCGCCCAAATGTCTGAAAGAAAAAGAAAAAAATCATTAGACGCTTAAACTTAATTCATATTAAAATCGGTCCAAGTTTTTGAAACACCCTTTATATATTAGCTAGGGTTCGCAAATTGGAGGAGAAAGTTATCAATGATAATGTTCTGACTTCGAATCCGCAGTTATCTCCCTTGAACCATCTTTCTCGACCTTCTATGCTGTTGGGTTTCTCATTGATGAGACGTGAGCAAATTTTAATTCCGAAAATGTGGCTAAGAGAAAAGAAGTTTGGGAACCATTAGTTTTTAAAGAACTGTAATAAAATGATGTCATTTTTAAAAAATAAAATATTAATTTTTCGATTCGCGTTTCTTTCATCTTTCGTTTTTTTGTTTTTTGTTTTTATTTATTACACATGATATTCTAAACCACCAGGGCTTAGATTTTATTTTGAATCCATGTTGTTTAATAACGACTGTATAACCCCAAGGTAAAAGCTACGGAATGGGGATGACAAAATCAAACAAGGACAAAAGTTTGAATATCTGTTCATACAGAAGATGGAAAAATGTGACACCAAAATTTGAAAGCTCATTTGATTCGACAAACATCCCAACCAAAAATTAAACAATATTAAACAGAAATGTTTCATGAGAAACAAAGAAAGGAGCGCTAAACTACAATGTAATCTCAACACTCGTATATGGCAGTGAATGCTGGACAATTTCAGTTGAAGAGATGAGCTGAGGCAACAGAAATGTAGTTCTACATAAGGATGCTGAGAATAGCATCTACGGAGCATGTAAGCCATGAGGAAGCCTTAAGGGAACTAAAAAGCACACATACTCAGAATCATAAAAGGGCACCTCAATGTGGTGTAATGTTTAACAAGCTTGTCTCGCTAAAACAATTACGACTGAATAGTGAATTCTGTCCTCACTGGGTACCCCATACTTTCGGCCCTGTGCCACGTCTAAGCTACACTTAGAGAATCCCCATAAAAACACAGCTGAATTTCTAGGACACATAATAAGAAGGGGCTTAGAACATTTCGGTCAAAGGGAGGCAGCGGCTCCCGTATCTGATGAGCTTATATGAATGGATAACATAAAAGGGTGTAGAAGAGATGGTAAAAAGAGAAATATTTCTAACAGCTAGGATAGGTGATTGTGGGGAGCGATCATCGTGCACGTCCTGAGGGGACACGGCACAGTGAAGAAGAAAAAAGTAACGGTCTGAGAAATGCGATAAAAAGCGGCTAAAATTATGATTTAAGAAATACTTGCAAGAAAAGTGTTAATAACTAAACTGTTTTCGTTTTCAAAAGACAGTAAAAATGTCATGCTGAAAATTTAAATCGGTAAATTCATGTTGAACAAACAAGAAAAATCAAAAGAGAATACGAAAACATGACATGAAAATCTTTGTTTTAAAAATGTTTCATTGTTATTCTAGAATGAGTTTTTCAAGTGTTAGTAACAAGCTATAAGGCTAGCCATATTTGTTTCCCGCCAAACTTAAGCAATGAAGCATTAATACCGGCGGCCATATTTTTCTCATGCACGAAGTTTCCATTTTTCGCGGCTGCGTAAATATCCATAGGGCGGATAATTCGATCAGCTCATGACTGAGTAACGAAAAGCTGAATTCAGTGCACACGGCACGAAGTTATGCTGTTAAGACGCAGCAATTCCTTTTCCCTTCATTTAAAAAAATGATTTGTGTGCTTCTAGGTTCAAGCCACTTATGTCTGATACTTTTCTCGTTTCGAATGCACAATATGCATGTATACATATACTAGTTTTGTCTTTCCTATCTCTCACTCTCTCTCTATATATATATATTTATATGTGTGTGTGTGTGTGTGTGTGTGTGTGTGCTAGAATTATCATTATATATCTCAATCTGCTAATATATATATGTATATATATATATCTTTCTATCTATCTATCTATCTATACATATATATATAGATAGATAGATAGATAGATAGATAGATATAGGTGTGTGTGTTAGAATTATTATCTATCTCAGTATGCTCATATCTATCTATCTATATTAATATTTTCATTTTCTATTTTAGCATTATCTATCTATATCTATACACATATATATATATGCATTAGTATTAATATATTAATATTAGTTTTATCATTTTTATTTTATTATTATCTATATATCTATCTATATATATATGGATATATGTATTAGTATTAACATTATCTATCATAGTCAGCTCATATATATATATTTATATATATATATATATATATTTATATATATATATATATATATATATATATATATTAGTATCTATCTATATATATATAGAGAGAGAGACTTTATTTTAGTTTCTCTTTCTCTTTCTCTCTCTCTCTCTCTCTCTCTCTATATATATATATATATATATATATATATATATATATATATAAAAGAAAGTGGTTATAGTTGTTCCAACGAGAAAAAGTGTGTATATTAAAAAGAAGAGAGATGCCGCAAACGTTTTTTGGTTGTAATGTGGATTTTTAAATATATATATATATATATATATATATATATATATATATATATATATATATATATGTTAGCATTATCATTATCTATCTTAGTCTACTTCTATCTATCTCCGTCCTATTTTACCAATCACATATCTTTCTGTCACTTTCCAACTTAAATTATTCTTCTCACACACACACTCTCTCTCTCACGCCTCTTCTCTCCTACTTTCGCTTTCGTCAACAATGTTGAATTCTAACGGAACGTCATCAGAAATCTTTTCCGAAACTAAAACTGCTTTGGAACACGTTTCAAAAATCTCTTCAGTCCTTCCATTGCCAAAACTTACCAACATTCTCTCCACATGGTTGCCCTCTATTATCCTTCATTAATAACAACACGAACGCTTCTTTCGTCACTGTACAGGAAAATTGACTCTAGTTAAGCTACCTGTCAGGAAATCACAGGAAAATGTGGGCAACTATTGTTTATCAGGAGGCTCTTTACTCTTCAAGCAATATTTTACTATCACCACCAACATACATACATACATACATACATACATACATACATATATATATATATATATATATATATATATATATATATATATATATATATGCACACACACACACACACACACACACACATATACACATATATATATATATATATATATATATTTGTGCGTGTGTGTGTAGACGTGTTTATTTGCTTTAAATTTAGAGGTTTCTGTTCTTATAAGAAACACTTTAGGGGCCGCTGTTGTTGATACTTAAAAATTCTTTTATGAATTGCTACAGTCACAAGTGTTTGAAGGTTAGGTTTTTATGGGGACATTTATTTCACTGGTTTGATTTAATATTTGCAAGTTTTGCAAGAATCTTAACACTTGTCAATACAAGTTTTAAGACCAATCGCTCGGTGGAAACGTTTTTTTTTTTTTAGCTCGCTTTGGCTGTAAAGCTTGACAATACGTATTTGTTGTAAAGTAGTTTTCACAATGGAGGCTTGTATTTCACTAAGTCGGTCCTAAAAGAGGTTCGACGTACAAAACGTTAGGAACTTGAAATAATAGTTCATGACGCAGCAATCTAGTTGTGGAGGTTGATACTTTAATGTCCGACATCGACTGACACACCAACTCCACTGAGGATATTCAGTCACCCACCACAAGGGCATCATGTGGCACAAGGCCAGCTTAACGTGGGATCTCCGAGCCCGTGGGCTCGGCCAAAGATATGCCCTTTTAAAACCCGTATAAACGGGTTCAGGGTCGGTTTACCTCCCCGAAAGAGACTCCGCCCTTCGGCGTAGCCTCGTTCGGGTTCCTCCCCGCCCGAAGGCAGAGAGTTCAACCGGTCAGGTGGTCGTCCAACTTCAGACTGAACTCAGACCAACTCTACTGAGCCCCCTGGCGACTGCTACTACTACTACTTATTACCTGTGGGAGAGTCTATTAACAATAGAATAGGTATGGTCCGGTATAACAATATTCCTGGCAGTTCAATGCTTTGTTTTATAAACTGATGAAAATCTATAGCTTAGCTGATTAATTAATATAATAATCTTTCTTTCTTCATTTCTTTTTGTTCTGTATACACACGCGCGTATGCAGATGTATACCACGTATTTTCTTAAATATATTCGACCAAATCTATCTATCTACCTATCTATCTATCTATTTACATGTGAAGTCATGATAAGTTATTTTTTTTATAATTGCTTCTGAAATGTCAACAAACAAATGGAAAACATAATGAGAAAAGAAGGCTTGGAAAATTGGACACTCACAGGTCAAGGCAAGGTAAACAGCGAGTAACCTACTTGATCAGCTTTTATAAATGAATAACAACTGGGAGAAGACAAAAGCTGCAAATAGCTATGACGGTTAGGAAGTAGTGGAGAGCAATAAATGACACGGACTATAGAAGAGGAAGAATCAAGATTTTTAACCTCAAAGGCCGGTTCAAATAAGTATTACACTCTTTCATTTATTTCATTACAGCCACTAAGTGAGTCGATATTTTTCTTTTTTTTTCTTTCTTTAAATTCTATAATGCTGAGTTTCACTAGTCTAACCGTTTAGGCTCGTAAGGACACCACATGTACTGCAGCCATGGCCTCACTGGTGCGTCTTGGGCAAGATTAATCTCACGGAGCCATCTCTCTTCAGGATGGTTTTGAATTCAACTTTTTCCTTCTCTTATAATTGCCAAGTAAAACAGTCAAGTCAACTCTGCTATTTAATCCATAACTGAAGGGAGATGGGTTCATGCCTTTTTCAATGGAATTACAAGTGAACAAAATATCTATTTTTTTTCTCTTCCTCTCTTCTTCATTCTCTTTAATTTCCACCCTCTCTATACGTTCCATTCTCACCCTCTTTTCTATATTCCTCTTTTTTTCCTTATCTTTTTCCTCCACGCATTCTTTTTCACTTACTCGTATTAGTCTCCATAATCTACACATATAAACTAAATTTCAAAGTTAATCGTGATTCCTTTTCTTCGGAGAATCGAAGGTAAGATTTTCCATACTGAAATTCACACAATACTAGCCTAGAGAGCCACTCAAGGTAGAGGGTTGCTGTTAAAATAGAAATGACGAACAGGAAGATGAATGTCCAGCAAGACGATTTCGGAGAAAAAAGGATATATATCTAACTCAGTGTTTCTGATATGTTATTGAAAAGTGTCGCGTCACGTCAGGAAATATTATAGACCTATAGATACCCCCAATTTTGAAGAACATCGGCCCTTTCATAGAATCTTTGATCCCTCATCGATGCATCCATCTATTTATAAAATCTATCAATAATAATCTATTTTTTTTTTTTTGTTATTTAAGGGTAGATATTCCTTTATCCCTTCCTTTCATTATTGCTTCTCGATAAGATTCATTTTGGCTTTCCGTTTTGTTATTGCTTTTCAATTTCTATTTCTCCTCCTTGTTTGTTTGAATAATAAGAACCTTAAAGATAATAATAATAACGAGAAAAACTTTATGAAATAATGAATAACAAAGGTAATAATTAACAAATGAAAAATGAATTAACAGACCTTTTTATTTAATTGATTCAGTAGAGTTGCTACAGTTGAAATGAGTAGATGCAACCGTAAGTTCTATGTTAGTTGTTTCTTCTATCGCACTTCACAGTTGTAGAAATCTGGCTTCCCAATCAACTTTGATGTTTAAAAATTTAAATGAAATTTCAATCATTATCTTCGGTCCTCTTAATTCTTGCTCTTTTATTGATCTCTCCTCTTAATATATATATATATATATATATATATATATATATGAAGAAATATAGTCTTAAGGTGTGCTATATTTATGGGATAAAGTGCTCAATATCAGAGATAGAGGGTGTGTAAATACAAAAGTGAACATAGAAGTCAACACTTAGTCTGTTTCATGCTAGACGAAATCGTCAGGCCTGACGATTGCGGCTAACATGAAACAGACTGTCACCTCTAGTTGTTGACTTATACGTTCACTTTTGTATATATATATATATATATATATATATATATGTATATCGTCATCCATAACTGTTTCTCTGTATCACAGCTCATCAGACATCCGACCGCTTCAGACTGGGACCGAATCCCGACCGATTTAGTATCAGTCTGAGAATTTAACCCCTAGGTCATTGACCCGGTAGTGAGAAAGGCGAATTTTTGCGTATTTATTTTTTCATAAACACACCACTCACTTAAAGAAGTCAATCAGCTTGGAGAGTTTTCTGAGCAGTAATATTGACTGATATATATATATATATATATATATATATATATATATATATATATATATATATATATCGACCGCCTTTTTACCCCCATGCATCTATAAACCTACTTTTAACTCCTCAGGATCTTATCGACCTTCGATATTGTCTCATCGATTCAAAAGAGTCGATATCAACAACTTTGGGACCTCCTATTTGAGACTGTACAACTTGTCTGGCAAGGTAACACGTGTTGATGTAAAAAACCCAAAGAGGATTAAAAGAAAAAAAAAACAGAAGAAAAGAAATATAGTCATGTATACTCTGTCTGGTACACTTCGTTTCAGTGTCTTCTAAATCGTTATTCAGTTGGCAAAATTGTTGTCTTGAAGGCTGACAGGGTTTTGCAAATTCTACTTTTCGTGAAAGAGTTGAATTTTGAGAGTTATTTAAATTTATCTTTTACTAGCAAAAAAAAAAAAAAGAAAAATGAATTAGCCAGCAGGGTAGGGGCGCTTTGTCGTGGTGTAATAGTTAACTATTTTGTCTTGCACAGGAGGCACGCTAGAGTAATGGATAGCGGCTCGAATTCAGAAATCGAGTTCGAATTCCAGTCAGATCCATTGCATTCACTTTCGTGTTAATACCATTGGGAAAAATATGAACCCTCTTCTTCTTCCTCCAGCTATGGGTAAATAGCAGGACAGACCGGGTTCTATAACCTTGGATGGCAACTGGTCTACCGCCGAAAGAAATGGCAGCCTACTGCGGGGAAAAAATCTGTTTCGTCAGTCATGTATCGAAATATATATGATTGCCTAAGCGTGTATCACGCATGGCACATCACTGACTGACTTGCACATCATTATTACTGAGTTTAATCCCCATAATTTTGTTAAATCTAAGCTTCACTAATTAAATAATTAAAGAGAATTGTTGACAGTAATAACAGAACACCGAAGAAGGCAGAATGTATGGTTGTCAATAAAAGGGAACATCCCAAGATGTAAATTACAAATTGGAGATGGCCAGATCAAACAAGTACAGGTGTGTTTTGAGGATAGAAACTGTGGCACCTGTTGACCATGTTCACCATAGTCTCCGAATATAGAATACAGCGCAGTACGTAATCTGTTCAATGAAACAACGTTAAAGATTAACACTCACGAGTCAGGCACTCTACTGAATCTGACTATATCGCCAATACCACCAGCAGCTGTTCCGTAATTCTTCAGTCTTCGATATCAAAGGCTGGCAGTGAATATTCGGGAAAAAACATGACCGCCTTTATACACGTCGCATTGAATATTTTGAGTCTTCTGATTGGTTAATCCTTCTATTGGTGAACTGTAAAATGAATCAGATCATTTTGGCTGGCTCACTAGTACACCAGGGCACCCAAAAATTCCAACAACAACGAAATCCGAAGTCGTATAGAATTAGAGATTAATGCCTTTCAAAAGCTAAACAAAGTATTGTGAAACAGGAATGTTTTGTTAGAAATAAAGATAAGAGGACTGAACTTCTATATAATATCTATTCACCTCTATGACAGTGAATGCTAGACAAATTTCTCACAGATGAAGAAGAGACTTGGTACAACAGAGATCTAGTTCTACAGAAGGATCCTGAGAATGCCATGGACGTCCCATGTAATCAACGAAGTAGCTTTAAGGAAAATGGAAAGAAAATAATACGCTTAAAGAAAGAATGGGTTAAAATTCTTCGAACATGTCATGAAGAAAGTTTGAAAAATTTCATTCTGAAAGCACATATCGAAAACAAGATGGACATAAAGTAGCAGAAAGTAACCTACCCCTCGAACTTGTGTAAATAGATGGAAGAAGAGAGTGTGAGAACGATGGTAAAAAGACAAACATTGCTAAGGGCTACAAAAAATAGAATGTTGTGGAGAGCTATGATCATCCACGTCCTGAAGCAACACGGAGTATAGAAGAACTAATTATAATTTTATTTGTATTTATTTGACTTTATTCTCTCACTCACTCGACATTAACCCCCTCAATCTTCTTTCACGTTCTTTGTATGTGTGCATAAAAATGGTGGGGAGTTTCATTTGGAAGCAGTGGACTTTTTGCTTATATTACTCTCTACTAATGTTGCTCGCTCAGAAGTTATCCTAAGAAATGAAGGAATATGAGAGATAAAAAATAAAACAAAAAAAACTTACAAGTGCAAGGAGGGTAATAAAAATGATCAATAAATATTTTTTATTACGCAAAATTTATTCAAGATATGTTTTGCTTACCTGAACGCTTCGCCACGCATATATATCATGTTTTTAGAAAAAAAGTTTTAAAGAAAACGAAGTTTGAAAATCCCTGATGCTTAAATAGGAAGAAACACTTGAAATAAGTTCTCTTTCGCGAGAAATTTCTTTTTTTTTTTTTTTTCAGAAACGTAACTAATTAAAGACATGAAAGAAAAAAAACCCAAAACACTTGCCAAAGAAATGAACAATCAAAGAAGCAATATCCTTATTATAAAAAACAACAACACTAAAACAGTCTTCAGTTTCTTAAAGTTCAGAATTTATTCTTTGTTGCAGACATCAATAGACAATGCCAAGTTTAATAGCGATTCCGGAGACATTTCGCCTTAATAATTACTTGAAACATTTAATTAAATTAAACGTGTTGATAAAGGTAGGTTGAAGCGACGAACAAGATGTCCGTCGCGACTGGAAAAGGCGAGAAAATTGTATTTGGATGATTATCGTCTGCTTTTGTTTTTCAGCCGCTATTTATTGCTTTTAACGTTATTTTTGTTTGGTTTGTTCTTTATGCTTTCTTTTCATACGTGTGTTTCGCCGATTTGAAAAGTTTCCTATATTTGTCGTTGTTACAAATGAATGCAAAAATTTTATCTGATTCTTTTCAATTTAAGACAACCGGAAATTAACGACAGAAAAGAGAGACATATTGACGGAGTAACTTAAACATTTACATTTCGACGCGTATATATATATATATATATATATATATATATATATATGTGTGTGTGTGTGTGTGTGTGTGCGTGTGCGCGTGTGTGTCTGTGTGTGTGTGTTTCTGTCTGTGTGTATGTATTTGCATATGTGTGTGAGAGAGAGAAAGAGAGTGAGAGAGAGCGTGAGAGACTTAGCATAGTATCCGTAAAAGATGGGGTTTATTTGCGTACAATCCGGGGCTTCTGCCTCAGATTACACGACAGAGTATCTGTGCGTTGTGCCGAGGATAAAAATGTGATTTGCTCGCATTTTGTCTATGATAAATGTAGTTGTCTGTGCATTCTGACTTTTAAAATTTAATTTGTTATCAAACAATACTGACCTAAAAGATATATCACTTCCAGAATGTATGTTCAAATCACAGGAGGATCCGCCAATTATTATTAGTAAATATCTTTTTTGCCATCTCAGATGTTAAGGAGAAAAAAACAGGGAAAAAGTCACAACACACACACACACACACACACACACACACACACACACACACACACACACACACATATATATATGTATATGTTGTTTTGTTTCTCACAGTTTGGTACAAGCGTTAATATGTGTGTGTGTGCATGTTAAAAATATTTTAACTTCTGCTATATTTATGGCTAAAAGTACTTAATACTTGTAGACATTAATAAATACGTATATCAATCAAATGAATAAATATAAATAAATGTAAATATGAATTTTTTTCTCATCGCTAAGGAAGA